GGGCCTTTCCTGCGCCCCCCGCCCCTCTCCGTAGCCTCGCCTCGAGGATGGCGCCCCCCGCTGGCTGGGCTTCCCCCGTCCGGGGCGCTGGTCCTCCAGCCCCCCGCCCGCGGGTACTTTGGTTTTAAAGCGCAGAGGGCGCAGGAACTGGGAGAGCCGGGCGGACGGGCTGGGCACCTCCTGGCTGCGCCCGGCGCGGAGTCCACTGGCCAGCTCAAAGGTCCGGGAATCCAAGGCGTGCGAGTGGCCTGGGCCGGCCAGGGGGCCCGGGGAGGGACAGAGGCCAGGCCTGGGCAAAGAGGAAGCCACAGGGCCAGGAAGAGGGCTGGCAGCCCCAATGGCCTGGGCGTGCACTCCACAGGCGCCTTAACGCGGGAGGTGGCCCCGGTGCCCTTGGATAGATTTGGGCAGCCCTTGCAGCCTCTGGGCCTCCCCAGGCGCAGCTCCAGGGTGGGTGCTGGGCAGGGTGGTGCCCCAGTCTGGCAATGCAGCTTTCTGCCTGGGTTGGCTCCTGACTCCAGACCTACAGGCTCCGGAAATCCTACAAGGGCCGGGTCTGCAAGGACACTCCCTTGCCCAGTGGAGGGGGCAGTGGATGGGAGGCCTGCGGCCCTAGCTCAGGGGCAGCATCAGTCAGCTCACCCTGCTGGCCAGGGCCAGGGCGTGGGTGTACCTAGCTTGGCAGATGAGTTTACCCTTCTTTGAGTCTATTCAGAGGGCATCAGGCCCCTGGGGGCGGTGGGAAGCCCAGGCTTGCCTAGCTGGACCACATTGTCAAGGGTCAGGCACGTAGCAAGAGGCTCCTCTGAAGACCCTCACTTCTAACACTCGGGTGGCGCCCCTGCTTCCTTGCTGTCACTTTGTTCCCACAGCGCTCCCCTCCCCCAAAGCCGGAGGAAGTACCTTGTGCTGTGGGTTTTGGGGACAGGAAGTGAGCACTAGTGGGACTTAGCCCTGATGGTGGAGGTGGGGGAGAGGAAATGCTGACATCTCCTACCACCTGCCAGCCCCTGCCACCAGTTCCCCAGCGAGCCCCTCTCTAACACCCTGAAGGCCTGCCTCCAGGGCGCCGAGCTGCTGAGCACAGTGAAAGGGAACTCGGAGTCATGCCTTCCCAGGGTGGGGAGGAGTGGAACTGGAGGGCCAGGGAGGGAGTTGGTCATTTCCTCCACTCCCACTCCCAGCCCCTGACTGGCTGCCCCATGGACCTGTCATCCCCTCTTCTCCCTTTGCTTCTCTCCTGCCCCCTTACACTCACTGTCCCTGGGGGGCTGGGGGTAGGCTCCACCTCTCAGCCTCTCTTCCTCAGGTATGGCACTGACTGTGGATGTCTTGGGGCCCGCACCCTGGGGCTTCCGTATCACCGGGGGCAGGGATTTCCACACGCCCATCATGGTGACCAAGGTAAGGGCTAGTTCCAGGAGATTAAGAGGTACCCCCATAGTTAGGGTCAGCTCTGTTTACCGGGTCCCCACAGGTACCTTTCTTTTTTTGTTCTGGAACCAGAGGTCTGCTTCTAGGAGTGCTGGCCCAGGGAAGGCTGGGACCCTGATGCCATGGGAATGTGGTAGCCAGGTCAGGAACAGGCTTCTGAGTAGTGAAAGGGAGCTGGGCCCAGTAAGGGGCCTGCTGGTTTCCAGCATCGTACCTGCTGGTAGCCATTTCGGGTGGTTATGAGAACAGGAGCCCCCAAGTTCTTGGCAGTTTCCCCTTGACCCAGGCTGGCTGGGAAGCATTCACGCTTGTGTGTGGGCAGCCACCAGCACGGCACGGTTTGCATTGGCAGGGCTCACTATCCAAGAGTATCTCCAAGCACAGTTCCTGAACCTCCATCATCACATGTTCTTTGGGGGCCCCCATTAGCATGCCAGGGAGGAGGGGGGCTGCCACTCCAGTTTTGGAGGGCATTAGCTGATTAGCTAGACAGATACTAAAGGGCAGGGAGAGAAATATTAAAGGGAGACATGGGTCAGCCTGGTTCAATCCAGCTTCTGTGTTTCTTGGGCAGGACAGAGGGAAATGCCCTCTCCTTCTTCCCTACCTGAGTGTCACCACTGTCTGAGCAGGGGTGCCTCAGCCTACCTACACCTCATCCCCTACAGGTAACGGAGCGGGGCAAGGCTGAGGCTGCCGACCTCCGGCCTGGCGACATTATCTTGGCCATCAATGGGGAGAGTGCGCAGGGCATGCTTCACGCGGAGGCCCAGAGCAAGATCCGCCAGAGCCCCTCACCCCTGCGGCTGCAGCTGGACCGGTAGGCCCTCCGCCTCTGCTGGGCTGCCAGCATTCTTCTTCCCCCTGCCAGCATCCTGCCTGGGCCACCCTTCCCCCCGCCCTGCCCTTTCAGCTCATCGGTGAGAAGGTCCCGGGCTCCTGGCCTGCAGCCTGCAGCAGGGTGGGCTGAGGGGTGTCCCTGTGCCTGGCTGGGCGTGTAGCCACAGGCAGGGCAGGTTGGCATCAGCCACCTGGATGCCCGGGTCTGACTGGTTCCCAAGTGTGTGGGGTACAGGGCGCGGGCATGAAGTGGGTTGAAGAGGGAAAAGGTGTGCCTTGGGCTGGGTCTCCAGGGCCTCTGCCACCAAGAGGGCATGACCTTTGTTCAGCTAGGGGATTGGGAGAGGGAGATGAGGCGTTTGGGGGGTTACTCCTCAGAGAACACTCATCTTGGTCCCTCCCTCCATTGTCTCTCCAGGCCCTGATGGTGGGGCTGATTTCTGGCTAGTGGGGTTTGCAGCCTAGAGGCCTGGGTTGGGGGGGGGAACAGGTGGCTCCCCAGGGTGGGGCATCTTGGTGAGTCACAGGGCAGGAATGCTGGGAGATTCCCTCAGCCAGGAGAGCCCTTTGGTCTGGCCTTGAACCTGAGTCAGGTTCCTTCTTCCTCTCTGCCACGCCCCCCACCGCCAGGCTCTCCCTGGACCCCGACTCCCTGCCCTCTCCTGGCCTCGCCGCCCCACAGTGCTGTGGAAGTGGCTCCCACGGTGCTCTGGCAGCCCCAGCCCCTTCAGCAGCTCCTTCTTGCCACTCTGGCTCAAGAGGGTTTGCAGGAGTGGGACCTAGAGGAGGAGGGTGGGGAGTACCTCATGGCATCTGGGAAGGGGACCAAAATCTACAAGAGACTGCAGAGCGGGGCGGGGGAGGGGCAGAGAGCTGCTGACACCATCACTTCCTCTCAGGTTCCTCTTAGAGGGACCCAGCCCCTTAGGGAGGTAGACCTGGCCAAGTACCCCCAGGCCTCCAGCTCCACGTTGGGCAGGTCAAGATTCCCTGTTTCTTCTTTCTTTTGCCCAGCCCCCTCTTAACCCTCCTTAAACACCACCCTCCCCACCCCCATGACCTTTTAGGCACTCAGAGCCCTGTGGCAGGAAGCAGTACTCTGGCCTGGAGCCACAGCCCAAGCTCCCCTCACTGTGACTCCACACCCCTCCCT